GCGCACTCTCTCTCTCTCTCTCTCTCTCTCTCTCTTTTAAATTCTGAATGACATATACGAAGAAGAGAAACATTTTAACAACTGCACCAACTAAATAATGTACAACTTGTTAACAAATAACGGTGGATGAAATCCCATTGCAAGCCAGAAGATGCAGGAGACAGGGAAAGGTGAGCCCCATGGCATTAATCAACATTCAAAGGCAGGGAGAACTAGGACAACCCCCAGAGACATTCACACCAGCCCCTCTGCCGTGGCTGCTGTACACTGGGCCGTGAGCCACACAAACCCAGAAGCATCTGCCAAAGGTCTCAGACAGCTGTGCAAGCACTCTCTGCCATTTGTCCAGCTATTGTGAAGTGACAAAAGAACGTTCCCAGGATTCCATCAAGTAGATTTCTTTTTCAGTTCAGAATAATGTGATTAGAATACAAATTTTCTTATTAATTCTCATTTTGCCATTCTAAATATCATATTTACCTCAATGAATGCATCTACTGTTTATTTTCACAGCTAACAGAGGTGAAGAGAACACATCATGAATATTAAAAAGTGAACAATGCAGAAGAAATAAAAATAAATCACTCTTATCCCGTAAGTGCAGAGTTACTGCTTAGAGAAATAGGTGCCCATTCACCTGGCCATTCAAAATGTCTTGAATATAATTTGTCAAAATTCCATCACTTTCCTTCCTTTCTTGTATATGAGCATCACAATTTCAAGGAAAACAATTTAATAGTGAAATCTCAGACTGTAGCACATCCAGTCCACCTTACATATATCAACACAGTTATGATGCTGCAGAAGTGAATGCACTGAATTTGTTAAAAATGTAACTCTTTCCACCAAAGGAAGGAAAGAGAAAAAAATAAGGAAAGAAAACCTTCAAAAGAAAAATATAAAGGCTCTACTGACTGATCTTTGCTGCTTTTCACATAAAGACTCAGTGTGTGGGAGTTAGTATGTTAGTCATCTTGGGTAATAAGCTAATAATTGTGTGCTTCCAAGTTATTAACCACCTTTCTAGATACAGTTCACAGGCAAATGAATGGACTTAATCTCTGTATTAAAACACAAAACAAACCAAACCAAACAATCCTATGTTTCGTGACTTTTCAATGTTGATTATCTCCTTGGCAATGCTTTACCAGAGGCCAGATACACAACTGCTGCTTTGGAAAAGAGTCTCTGGCACTTTGCAAGAGAAGCCCGTGAAAGTGGACTTAATCACATTTAAGTCAGTCCCCTTCAGACCAGACATAAAAGGTTGCCAAGGAAAAGCATTTTTTCCCAGTGATTCAACCAATACTGGGTTAGTTAAATTTCTCCTTCCAATGATCACACCACCCCTGAGAGTCTGCTTCTTTAATGTGTCATACAGCTAACATTTGCAAAATCAAACAACTCAGTGGAAGAAATGAAATATTTAAGACGGTAACATTTACTGCCAAAAGAAGTTTGTAGATTTCTCTTTTTTTGGTCATGTCAAACTCTTCAGGGTAAAACATTACATTACTTAATTCTAAAGCAGCAATTTTATAAAGATAAGGATCTTTATCTCCTAATTACCAAAGGATATTTTACTTATAAAAATCACTACATATGTAAAAAACTACAGTAAATGAAGGAGTTATTACTGTTAATCATGATGCTTATCTGCATTTAAGGGTCTCTGTGCTCTAATAAGAGCAAACAGTAGCTTAGTGTATCAATATTCCCATGGAAAATTTACGATTTCTTTCTTCGATTTATTAAAAGCCTAGTCATAGCTCAAAGGTCTTTGAATACCCATAAAATTGGGAAATAATTGCCATAAAATTAAGAAATAATAGCAAAATCTCCATACAGGAAGCAATCCAACAAAGACAGTACCTACTGGAAATTACTTACATTATAAAAATAATATCAAAAATTGAAACACTAACTAAGGTATACCAATAAACTATGCTTTCAGGAAACTCACTTTTTGGTACTACTGCTATGGAATATGCCTCATTTATATAACCATTTCCTTTTCTTTTAAATTCATCCTGAAATAATGTATAAGTGGCAGTATTTCTTTCTATATAAATTTCCTCTGAAGTTTTCTGATTTCAAACCATAGTAAATCAATGATTTTAGCATAAAAAATCAGTACTTTGACAAGGTTATATAAGTATTGTTCAATAGCTATCTGAGACTGAATAGTTAAGTGGAATCTAAAGTTTAGGAAATTATTATCAGAATATAATTAAGTGGTATTATTATTATTATACTTGAGCTTTAAATAAATTAAAAAGCTAAGTATTTAAAGATATATCTTAGCACAAAAATCTATATGATGCAAACTACAGTCCATTAAAATTTCCTCTCCTGCCATTTTTTTTCAATGATACAATATATGAACAAGTTCATTGTATTTTTGAGAAAATAACTGTGGAAAGTTATTTAAAATAATTAAATGAAAATAAAGTCTTGGTTAGAAAAAAGGAAAAGAAGATATGTTTATGCTACAATTACACAAAGGGCCATGAAATATGAGGAAAAAAATGATTTACTCTTGGATGGGAAAGCTCAATTTCATATCACTTCTTTGTAATATAGCCTATGGGCTCAATACAATCTCACTGAAATCAGTAAGTGATTTACTCGGGAACAGAGACAGGCAAGTGTCTCATGAGTTCAGATGAAGGGAAGGATGCAGAAGAATGGTCAATAGATTAATGAAAATTAAGTCCAATTAAGGACTTTCAATTCTAATAATTTTCCTTAACTAACAGGATAACTATGCAAAGGTTTCCGGTAGCACTTTACAACAGTTAAAAACTGTAAACAAGCTATCAGTATGGGACTGATTAAGCAAATAATATCTCATCTGTACTTATGAAACACTCCCCTGTCATTAAGAATGGTGGTACGTTTCTGGATTTCTTTCTCAATAAAAGGTGTTAATTCCATTATTGTTAAGTGAAAATAGAAAGTTACAAAATACTATATAAATATGACTTAATTTTTTAAACATGTGTAGAAATGGGTATATATCAAAATACTAAACGTCATTTTCTTGGATGGTAGGACAAAGGGGTCTTTCAACTTTTATACTTTTTGACATTGTGGGAATTTTTCATAATTATGAAGATGGATTATTAAAATCACAAGAGATTATTTTAACATTCTGTATGGTAATTTATGGATAACAAGTAATACTTAAGAAAAACTGAAAGGAAGTGGATACAGACAGCTTCTGGGAGAAGAAACCAACAGGACAATATTTTGAAGAAAGTCGCTGTAATATTAGGGACACTGCTGTTTGTCCACTTGCTGTGAGTACACAGGGGTGCCTGTGACAGAAGATACTGCATGAAGGAATCACATGTGCTTTGGTTCTCTAGTTTCCATTCTCCTTTTCTTATCATTTTAATGCTGATACCAAGGTGAACATGGTGGTGATGGAGTCTCAGTTCGTATCTCTACACCTGCCTGCAGTCCTTATACTTACTACTTAATGTGAAATCTACATTTTAAGGCTATCCTTGCATAATCCAATAAGTACATCTCTCGACATAGTCCATACTAAAATGCGCCCCAGTGATTTCATATGGGAACTTTATTGAAGAAGAGAAGAATATGATAGTGTGGTTACTACTACAATGTCTATAGTCTGAATCATTTTAACAAAAGGAGCTCTTATTCCATGTGTTAAATAAGTTTATATGAATATTAGCTAACGCGAAAGTTCCACTTAACGAAAATATCTGGTATAAAAATGATTTGATAAAAATAATAACAATATATTTATGGGGTGCTTATTATGTGTCAGGCATTGTTCTAAAAGCATTTTGTGTAATTAAGTGAATTATTCCTCAAAACCATCTATAAGGTAGGTGTTATCATTATCCCTTATTTTACCCATGAGAAAACTAAGGCTTAGAGAGCTAAGTACTTTGCCCAAGGCAACAGAGCAGGTGATAATTCCAGGTTCTTTAGCTACAGAACAAATTTCACTTTTATTTTTTGCAGATTTAAGAAAAATTAAATACTTTACATTTTAGAATCGTTCCAGATTTATAGCAAAGTTGGGACAAGTAGTACAGAGTTCCTCGATTCCCCTGACCAGTTTCCCCAGTTGCTGAAACCTTACATTATAGGGAACGTCCGTCACAACTAAGGGGCACGCACTGGGATGCTGATGTTAACTGAACTGCACACTTCACTTGGATCTCACTAGTTTTTCCTTAGTGTTCTTTTTCTGTTCCCAGATTCCTTGCAGGACAATTACATTGAGCTGTCATGTCTCCTGAGCCTCCTCAGTTTCTCAGACTTTTCCTGTTTTCATGACTTTGGCAGTTTTGAGGAGTACTAGTCAGGTATTTTGCAGAATCTCTCTCAATTTGGATTTGTGTGATGTGTTGTTCCTGATAAGGCTGGGGTTATGGTTTTGGGAGGAAGATCACAGAGAGGAAGTGCCATCTTAATACATTAAGATATATTAAGGGTACATGAAGGGTACCAGCTACCAATGCAGCTTATCTTTGATGATCTTACCCCTGAAAACCTGGCTGTAGTAGTTTGCCTAGTTTCTCCATTTTGGATTTACTATACTCCCTCTTTCCATGCTCTACCTTTGGGAAAAAAGTTACTTATCAAACCCTACGTGTAAGTGAGTGGGTTGGGGCGGGGGGTTAAGCTATGCCTACTTGAAGGGAGGATGGCTGTATAAATTATTTGGAATTTTTCTGTCAGAGCTCTCACTTTTAACCTATTCTTCTATATTGCCTTTGATGTCCTATTCTTTCTTACCATTTTGGCATATTATTCACATGCAGTGGTTTAAAAATATAATTTTTCACTAATTTCCTGCTTTTGCAAAGACGAAAAATATTTTAGAATTAAATGTGGCAACCAACAAATTTGTTTGAAATTATTTTCCACTACCACTGTAGAATTTGTCACCAAAGGATGCAGTCGAAACCAATTTTTCTCAGAAGCATTCTGAAAAGAACTTACCAGAAATATTCGTTCAAGTTGATCCTGAATGTCTTTCATTCCTGGAAAAGCAGCAACTCCTTGGATCATTTCAACAAAGATACAGCCGACTCCCCTAAAGAGAGAAGGAAGAATTGTTACAAAAATTTCAATATATTCTGCTTAGAAAACTAAATCTGGAATTAGAACATCTACTCCTACAGGAAAGGAACAATGAATAAATAATATTCTCAATGGGTATAAAGGGCTGTATGACACGTACCGAGATTCCATAACATCCCTTTCTCTGTCTACTGCCCAGAAAGGACTCCAAATAGATGCAGCTATACTAGGCTCAGAAAGTGGTGGAAACCAATAAAATGTAAACCTCATTGGTTTCACCTGACTCACAGGACACAGCCAAGAAACTCCTTAGCCTGATACAGAAACCCTCCACAGTCCTGCTCTACATCTTTTTCCAACCCTATATCACGAATTCATAATGTATTGTCTTCTCTAGCTGTCGAGAGGGCTCAAATCTCTCTTTGCACCAAAATCATTTGGGGAACTTTTTAAAAATGCGAATGATCTGAACACAAACCTCAGAGATTGTTTCAATCAGCTGGAGGCCAGGCATTGACTCGGGCTGCTCAGGTGATTTAGGGCAACTACACTGATGATCTCTAAGCCAGCGTGACCTGCCCACGGGCCAAGCATAAACTGCCACAACCTGGCTCAAATTGCTCCACTACCTAGAATTCCCTTTTTCTTCATCTATTTGCTCTTGACATGCAAATCCAACCCAACCTCTGTAATCTAATTACAAAGCCTTCCATGAGCATTCTGCCAGACAGGACACCTCCGTTTATGAGTTTGTTAAGCTCTTATTCAGCATATTGGCCATCTATTATAATTAACTTCCTCACCTAGCTTAGCCCCCATGCTCACAGTCCTTACCTGGCACGGCAGGTCAGCATATCAGGAGACCTAGCCCCCTAGACCACAGAAGACTGCACCTAACTCAACAGGAACATCCAATCCATAGTATAGGCAGAGAGCCAATCAGATACTTCTGCTGGAAGTTTGGAAGATCAAGTCACTTGGGAGCAGGACAGAAAGAAACTAGCATATGTAGATGGGATAAGTCACATTAATGGCAGAGAAGCAGCAAGAATGGCCACTTTCCTACAGATGGAACTCACCGAATTGATCTGGTTCCCACTTTCTGAAGGCCTCAATGCTCAGATAATCCAGTGTTTTTGCTAGATCTCTCTATCTTCCAGCAATTCTCCAGGATTAAAAAAAAAAAATGGCTCTACCTTGAATGGGTTTAAGTTTCCCGAAAGTATCCTAAAAAAATCGTAAACATATTGGGACACTTCTTCAATTGCTCCACTCACATTCAATTTATGGTGAGCAAACCCTTATATATTTAACTTATTTCAGGCCCTCTGTAGGTTAAAGACAATGAACTTACTTCTCTATAGCTGCCCCAGTTGTACATAAACAATGTTTTGAATTAAAGAGGTAATACATTAGCAGAAATCTCCTCTCTATGACATCATGTAATTTTTATCCAAATTAAATACCAATAGCATACGGAGTCAAAATGACTGAAAACAAACACAAGCTACTTTATATCATAAAAAATAATTCCATTTTAGTAATAAGAATTAATTTCAAAATCAATGCTCTAGGGTGATGGGTTTTAACACAAGCTGTTTCCTTTTCAGATAAGAGGGAGATCAAGATCATGATGGCGGACTAGGAGGCCATGGGACTCACCTCCCCAGCAAGCACATCAAAAATGTAACTACAAGTGGAGCAATTCTCACTGAAAACTAACTAAAACCCGCAGGAAGACTTTTGTACAACCTGTAGGAAAGATTCATACAGAATTAAGTAGGAAAGGAAGAGAAGTGATTGGGTTGGGACTTGTGTTCTGGGAGGGGACTCAGAAGAAGAGGGAGATCCTCCCTGGGGAGGGAGCTGTCTGGGCCACATATCAGGCACTCCAGCCCTGGGGTCCAACAGCAGGAAGAAAGATGAGTCCTCTTAGCTCGTTAGAAAACCAGCACGACTAACAGAAGGACTGTAAGAAACCTAGAGTCCACTTGTGAAGCACACACACACACTTGCTTACCCTCAAAACAAGGTAAAGAGAGCAAATTGAAACTGCACTGGACTCTGGCCAGTTTCCTGTGACCACTTTCATGTGGACGCCCCAGCTTGAGCCTAGTGTTCATTCTGGCCCCACTTGCTTCATGATGCAGCTCCACACTAGGGTGAGGGCTGCCACAGTCCAGGGGAGTGCGCGGTTGTGAGAGATGGAGCCAGCCAGCTGAAATAGCATCTGAATGAGGGTGGCCACTGCTGGCGCCTAAGGGAGCAGTGCACCAGATCAGTCCAGTATGCCCAGAAATTCTGCCATTTGCAACAACATGGATGGACCACTAAGTATAGTTGGTATCATGCTCAGTGAAATAAGTTAGAGAAAGACAAATACTCTGTTATCACTTATATGTGGAATCTAGAAAATAAAATAAAAAATGTATATAACAAAACAGAAACAAACTCACAGATATAGAGAACAAACTAGTGTTTACTAGTGTGAGAGGGGAGAGGAAAGGGGCAAGATCGTGGCATGGGATTAAGAGATACAAACTACTATGTACAAAATAAATAAGGAACAAAGATACATTGTACAGCAGAGGGATATATAGCCATTATTTTGTAATAACTTTAAATGGAATATAATCTATAAAAATACTGAAACAGTATGTTGTACACTTGTAATATAATACTGTAAATCAGGTATACTTTAACAAAAAAGTATAAAAATCATAGTAATAATAATAAAAAATTTTAAAAGATTTGAGAGACAACAGATATCAAGAGTTATTTTATTGATATACTAAAATGCAATGATACTCTTATAAATATTGGGGCTTCAGATATCCAGTTAGGTCTAAAATTTCAATTTCGTGGTTTTTCACATTTTTATACCAAGAATTCTTTTCTAAGGCTACTGACCTACATTTCTACTGTCTCCTTATTTAAGTTGACATAAAATATCCTGACTCTTTAATAGTTACCAGTACTTTCCTTTTTTTCTATTCAGACTGTAAACTTTATTCTCTACCTCTGACCTTAGTCTCTCCCACCACAAGCTGCAACTGTGAGTGCAAAGACCCTCAGCAGAAGCCACCTCCACCCACATTGTGTACTCTGCCAAGCGACTGGTGAGGTAACCTTTTACACTGTCAGAACTATTTATGGAATTCTTTTACCACTACTTGTGCTTGGTTCATAACATCTCCATAATTCGTTACTTAGAACAATTTAAAAGATAAATCTATGCTGCAACGCTACTCAGTCGGAATAAGATGATATAGCACTTCTGTAGGCTCTTATCTGCTTAGCTGGCTAAGGGATTTGGACTCTCATTTCTAATGGATGTTTCCTATGCTGTCATTTTTCAAAGATGCTTGAGGGTATACTAATGAAGCTGAGAGAATTATGTTTAAAGGATTTAGAAAAAGAGAGAAAGCACAACAAATAAAAAAGTAGAAGTATAAATATATCAGCATCTTAACATAGCAGAATACTTTATTACTGGAGTTTCTTTATTGCTAAACAGCAATAAAAAGCCCTTCAACTTAATACGGAGGGACAACTGCCTGCTTTCCTCTTTTTTTCTTTTTTCTTTGCTACCCTCCATTAGCCCTGTGCTACCTCTCTATTGATGGATTAAGATGACTGCCTTGAGTGGTTTACTGACAAAGAATTCAACCACTTAAACTCTTTATTTATGACATATAATCTTATTTCAGGAAACATCTCCTTTAATTTGCTTCTTTGCGGAATTTGAATCATTGTGTAATTATCAACCACTTAGTCTAAATTTTTCAAGAATAAGAATTTGGTCACAAAAGCTCCCAATTAAAGGTGTCACAGGATGCAATGTGTTCAGACTCTTATTTTAGGATTAGTTACCAGGCAAGGTAATATATAAAACACCCACTCATGCTCACACACCTTTAATTCTTTTGATCTTAAAATTTACTAATTTATTTTATGCCACAGCTATGCAAATATTTTTTCATTATGATTCAAATCAAGATTTTAAGCAGAATTGATAATTTTTTGTCATTATAAGCAGAGACAGACCACTTTTTAGTCCTGAAGCTCATACAATTTGGGAGTTCTCATTATGAAAAATATACAAAATTATGAATTAAAAATTGGGTACAAAAGTGAATTTAGGATGAGAAACATTAATCAAAAGAAATTATAAATTTTTAAAGCTAACAAATGTGGCAAATAATATGTAACTCAGAAAAATAATACAATATATTTATTAATGGTCTGACACCCCTCCTAATACTTTTCTTTCTACAGTTTTGGTAATATTCAATTACTTCTTCCATGAAAATTCTGTAATATATTTCTCTATAAAGAGAACAAAGAGATAATTTAGTTGTTCCTCTAGCATAATGATGACTTTTTTTTCCTGATGGTATGGAAAACTGTTTTTTTCCCCCAGCTTTACTTATTATTGGTATGGTCACATAAACTTTTAGGACTGTTGTCAATTTGGGGAAAATGTCTCTCACACGTCTTTCAAATATGTATGTTATAAACACAACAATTCTAAAACATTCTACATAATTCCCATGATAAGGTATCAAAGGAGCACGAGAGGACATGCTTAGTTAGCTCAATGTCGGGGGCGAGGAAGGACCTGCACCAGTGGAACCCAGTGGATAATGATGTGGTGGAGCCAGGAAGGAGAACGGTGCTTCCAGGCAGAGAAAACAGGAGCCAATAACTGAGAAATCTTGAGAGAGCCAAGTGCTATTGTTACGGCTCTGCGTGGAAAAGGGAAGGAAAAGTTAAAAAGAGAGTCAGAGTCCATACTCTAAGAAGTCTGTGTTTTATTCCTAGGCTAGAAATTCTCAATTTTCTTCTGTATCCTAATACTCACGGAGAACAGAGCTCACCAGTAGAGGACATAGAGTGGAGAACTGTTATTTTAACAGCTTTGAGGACAGAAGCACTAGTTGTAAAGCCACTTCATTCTTTCCCACTCATGGTAGCAAATGCATGGGACTAATGATAGTAGAAACCCTCTCT